AAATTGATGAGAGAGTTCATTGTTAGTCTTCACTGGTCTACATGTCTACATCAAAACATATACTGTAATCAGATTTACCAAAACAAAACAATAACAACGTTATCTTATTTAAATGCTTCAATCCTTTATTAAATAGCCAATGCCGTAAAATAACTAGCATGTCCCTGCCATTGAGTATATTCAAGTGGCTAGATCCCCACCAGCCACCATTGGTTGAGGAAATGGTGATCTTAAGAAAGCTATTCATAAAGGTATTTGTCCTTCTCAGTCAATGCACTGTGCACAATTTAATTTATTTGTCCCTCAATAAAAGTGGCATGTGCATGATTGAGTGTCTAATCCACTATTTGTACTGAGATTTCAAAAGAAAGGGCATGAAATAAGAAGTTGAGTTTGAAACTCAAGAAAACCAGTACGATATTCTAAATTTACATAAATAATAAATTTACATAAATAATAAACTCAAGCTATGTTGTTGAGAAATTAAACCATATATTGCTTATAATGTAGGACTTTGGCTAGCTAAGAGACCAAGACACATAAGCAGTTGATAATGCAAAGACAAACAACGAAGTATGTAATATGAAAAATCACTAAACTAACAAATTATAGTAATTAACAACTATTAGATGCATGTATTACTTACTAGCATGAAATGTATTCAAGTGCATAATAAAAACTGAGAGGCTCTTAAATAATTTCTTACAAAAGGCCGAAGAAAATGAACTAAAGAAACAATGGATCTAATCAGTACTTGGAAAGAGGCCACAGACACAACTACAATTTACTCAACTATTTAATTGCAGCAACTGACAACAAAGGGCGGCACATAGAGCTTCAATTCCCAATTCTTTCATAAAAATAATGATTATTAGAGATTGGTTGTCATGCAAGAAGTCAAGTAAAATTTCCTTCACCACATGTAGTTGGAAATATATTATAAAGGGAATACCAATATTAAATACTAAAAATAATCAAAACATAATGACAAGTAAACCATGACATATTGACCAATTTCTTGTGAATTTAAGGCCACCACTATAATCACTGAAGCTACTACATTAGGTTTCAAAATGCATTTAACCGGACCCTAGTGCATAAATACAATATAAAATTGGACAAAATACCTGAATATCCCTGCCCCAATCAATAGCACTACAAGAAAAAAACACCTTTAGTGACCACCTATTTTTAGTTGGTCACAAAAAGTATGGTAATCTTCCACCAAAATTTATTTTGGTCACGGATGATGGTGTTTTAGTGACCAACATTTTTTTGGTGGCTAATAGTTAAGTATTTGTGACCAAATACAAAATGTGGTCGCCAAAAGTGATGGCGGGAGCGCGAAATAAAAAGGGCGGGACATCAATCTTTTGGCCACCAGTAGATTTTGGTCACAAAAAGGAAAAATGATACACACTACGTCGTTTTGAAATTCTTAAATAAAAAATATGTTTCTGAGCCTTGATCTTCCCTCATTGTTGCCCTCTTCCTTTCCTCATCGTTGCCCTCTTCCTTAATAAAAAAAAGTTTCCTGTTTCCTTGAGCTTCCGATCGGTTCATCAAACCCTACCCACCATCTCCTCACTTCGTCCCCTGGGTTTGCCGCTCTTCATCTTCGCCTCCACCTTGTACTTACCAGGTTAGTGTCTCTCTCTCTCTCAATCTCTCTCTCTGTTCGTGTATATATATATATAATCGATCGATTGACCATTCTTTTTCATCGTTGCAACTCCTCACTTCCGATCTGTTCATGTCTATATCTATGTCTATGTCTATATCTATATCTCTATTATTTGAGTTTCATATATACTTGCTGATTTTTTTTTTTTAATCTCTATCATTTGATTTTCATACATAGAATTTCTGATTGATTTGTAATCGATCTGTGCTTCTCTCTCATTTTTCTTTGATTTTCATACTTCCTTTTTTTTTTCTGAAAATTTTCTCCTCTGTTTGCTATTTTTTTCTTTTTTCTTTTTGAAACAATTTTAATTTTTGAGTTAATTACACTTTTCACCTTCTAGTTTGATCTAAATTTTACTTTAGTTCCTATAATTTCAATTTGAACAATTTGGTCTTTATATTTTAAATTTAGCTTCAATTTGGTCCTTTTGTCTTAATTGGAGGTTTTAACAATTTTAGAATACTTGTCAACTTTTTAATGTTTCAATTTGGTTGTTCCATCTAAATTAGATGTTAAAATTAACAAATTTGAGACCCTTGCTAATTTTTTATTTTTTCAATTTGACTTTTCTCTTCCATCTAAATTGAAAGTTAAAATTAATAATTTTGGGACACTTGTTAATTTTCTAAGGTGTATACGTAGACAAAATTAACAAAAATTTAGATAGGAGAACCAAACTAGACTTAAATTATGGAGAACAAATTATTCAAATTAAAACAATAGAGGAGACTAAAGTGAAATTTGGGTAAAACTGCAGCATAAAAAGTGTAATTAACCCTTAATTTTTTAGAAAGGATAAAGAATTTATTTGACGAATTATTTTTAAAAAACACCTATGATATTCATTTTTTAAGAAGCACAAAAAAGTTAGGAAAGCAAATTTTGTACAAAAATAAAAATGATAAGAAAATAATGGAGTTTTTTGAAATTATTTTTGTTATTTTTTTTATTCCAAAAATATGAAAAACAAAAACAAAATAAACGAAAACACTGCCAAACAAACTCGAATTATTGGTGGGAATTTTCCCTTACTCTATATGTCTTAACACCTACTACCAGATGGGGCAGTAACTTAGATTGGTTATTATACCTAAAATTGGTTATAATCAATAACTTAGATAATTAGTTTAAATCCAACTGTTGAAAATAGAGAGGTGTGAACCATTTGATCATAAGTCTGTAATCAATATTTTTATAGAAAACACCCAAATAAATAGTATTTAATTTTGATTTGACAATTTACTATAAACTCGTTCTAAACTCGACTTGTTACCTATTCTTTCTTTCCAGCTAATTGAGAACTTTGCATTCTATAAGATGTGACTTACATTTATTGAATACAAGGTCTATGCTAAGAAGTATTTTAGGGGTCAAAGTGTGAGAGTAGGTTCATGTTATTTGGCCATATAGCTAAGACAAAATGTAGCATCTAGTCAACCTCAAATGTGCATTGATTTTTAAGAATTTTTAATATTTTTTGGGAGTAAACTTAACTTTAATTGCTTCTGTAAAGAAATGAACTATACTTTAATGACCTTTGTAATATGTTACTGACCCTTTATTTGTCTTTAATTTTGTCTTTAATTTTGTCCTATCTTAATGTATGAAATACAGTCCTATCTTAATCTATGAGTCAATGAATAGTGATTGGTCCAGTGTACTTGAACTTTTAGATTTAGCAAGACGCAATGCCATGGAAATTTATTGGTCATGCTTTATTCTCATTAATCATGGACATCTTCATTATCATTATTTAAAATTATTGTTTCTAAAAAGTTTGTTATTAACTTATTACAAAGCTCTTGACCAGGCTGCATGTTTTAGATAGTTTAGTATATATAGATAATCTAAAATGAATAAATTAAACTTAATATGGGCATGATTTTTTTTTTTTAAATTGCATAAATTAAGCCTTGAGACTGACAAATATGGGTTGTTTATCCATCCTTTTAGGGAAGTTTTAACTGAGTCCATTCTCAATCTTGTTTCATCGAATGCTCTCTGCAATTTGTCAACTCACTGCCCTCATTTCTATTTCTAGTGAAGAATCCATATCTATGTCTATGTCTATGTCTATATCTATATCTCTATCATTTGAGTTTCATACATACTTTCTGATTTATTTTTTTTTAATATCTATCATTTGATTTTCATACATAGACTTTTAACAATTTAATAATTAGATGTTTTTAATTTATTTAACTTATTCTTACCTCCTATGTTGTAAAAAAAAATTATCACTTCGATAATTTCTTTAAAAAAAAAAAGAAGCAAATAATCCTATAAATTGTACACAACAAATAATTTATTTGACAAGTCTATAAGATGAAGATATGGTTCATTGAATATATCTGTACACTTTATTAAAAAGCATTCCCACCATTCGTTTCTTATGTATATATTGGATATTCTCTTTTCTCTCTCCCTATTGGATATCCATAGTGTTGGTCCTAGGTGATCCTTTTTGCACTATAAAAATGTTTTAAGATGTCTCTGTTTTAAAATGTTTTAAACAAATATTTTAGTTTGGTATTTGATTTATTAGACTGATTAATTTAAAGAATCAAGTTCATGGATCCCATTTGTGTGGATCTCTTTTCTATTGGCAACTATTTCCCATTGGGCAGTGGCGAAATCTTCAATAACTAGATCGCGGGTGTTGGTTAACTTGATTGATGATTGCCTATCAACCACCAATTTAATATTAAAAATAAAAAATGAGATAGAAACCGATCTTGTCTTCCATTCTGTTTGTTTTCTTGCAATATATATATATATATATTTTGGGAAATAACAATTCAGGATATATTTTGAACGTTAATTACAAATCTGTCAAATATATGATGCAGATGAGCATTCATTATGACTTTAATTGTATTAGGTGGTGATGCAGATGATAGAATGATGATGCCCTTAAAATTTTAATCTGTAAAATATTTTTTCTTTTTTTAAAGTAGAAAATATTATTTTTTCAGTTAATATAATTTGGTTCTTTGTGCTGTAGCAGCAGCTTCATGTTGCAGCAGCAACTTATTGTTGGTTCTTAATATTTTTTTTTCTTCTTTTCTTGGCAGCAGCATTAGTGTTCAATATTATGCTTATTGAATACTAAAACAACCATAATGGAATCAATAACTATTATAGTTGAATAATATAGGAAGGAATGTGAGATTTGATGCTTGCCTAAAGCGTATAAATAACTTTTTCACCTTATAACAAAATTAACCTCCAAAATAGGAATAAAATTCATTTTTAGTTAATTGGTTTTTGCTTTATTCACCTAACATAATCTTCACTTTGTAGGTCGCCAAATATGGACAAGAGTTGGATGTCAAGTAGGAATAGATTGAGTTCGGAGTATAGAGAAGGGGTTAAGTCATTTCTCCAATTTGCAATGACAAATGTTGGCGTAGATAATAGAATTCGTTATCCGTGTATGGATTGCCTAAATTTTGAACATCATACCTTTAAGGATGTGGAATATCATTTGATCCAAAAAGGGATATCACTTTCATACAAGACTTGGGTGCACCATGGGGTAACTGTTTCTGTCAATCAACCTCGTGTGTGGAATAATGACAATGACATTGAAGGTGTTGGTGATGAAGGGACAACCAATGAATGCCTTCACATTGAAGATGAATTGTATGATATGTTAGATGACTGTCACATGGCGCATATTTTTGATGATGATGAAGAGGGTGAGCAGAATGATAATGAGCAAAGAGAAGATGGACGAAACTTTGATAAATTGTTAGAGGATGCTCGTCGTCCATTATACCTTGGCTGTCAGAAGTTTACTTTGTTATCATTTGTCGTTAAGATGCTTCATATAAAAGTTTTAAACAAGTGGAGCAATAAGTCTTTTGACATGTTGTTAGGCGTATTGAAAGACCTTTTACCAGAAAGTGATCAAAAGGTTCCATGGACCCTTTATGAAGTGAAGAAATTTTTACGTGATTTGGGTTTAGGATATGTGCCTATTCATGCATGTAAGTATGATTATGCTCTTTTTTGGAAGGAAAATGTAAATTTAGAAAATTGTTCGATTTGTAAGGAGCCTAGATACAAAATGAATGATGGCAAAGGTAAGAAGATACCTCATAAAATTTTGAGATATTTTCCGTTGACACCAAGGTTGCAAAGATTATACATGTTGAGAAAAACAGCTGGAGATATGCGATGGCATAAAGAAAAACGTGTTGATGATGGCATCTTAAGGCATCCAGCCGATGGTGAGGCGTGGAAGGATTTTGATAGGCAACATGCTGTGTTTGCCCAAGAACCACGTAATGTGAGGTTAGGGTTGGCCACCGATGGTTTCAACCCTATTCCGAATGATGTGTTCCAGCAGGACGAGACCACTGAAATTTTCCAAATCAACATTGCAGATTCCATTAGCAACACTTTACGTAGGACTGATATTGCACCTGATATTATTCCAAGTCAAGTGGTTCTGCAATCTAGTACAAGTGTACATGTAGAGGGTCCAAACAGAGATGATTTTATCTGTGATGATAATGATCAACATTCAAATGATCCTAGTGATGATGAAGATGAATTTCATAGTCATAGTAACTCGGATACAGATGATGATATAGAGCCTTGATTGTAATATCCTTTATTTTTTGCATTATCAAGTCATTTTCATTGTAATGCTCTTGATTGTAATGGCATGCACTTGTTAATGAAGACATGTTTAGTTACAACAAGTCTGGAATGTTGTACCTATTGCTTCATTGTGGTCCATTTGGAAACATCGGAATCTGTCTGAATCTGTTTGAAGCTGTGTTTGTTCTACTGTCTCCTCTGTGTGCTGCTGCTGAAGTGCTCTATGTTTTTTTTTCTCTTCTGTTTGGTGATGCTGCTGAATCTGTCTGAATCTAACAAATTTTAAATCAATTGGATTCAGGAACATTTAAACCATTTGGGAAGCATCCAAGCAACCAAAAAGAAAAAGGGATGAAAATACCGTCTTGAATTGGACAAAGAAAAGCATATTTTTTGAATTGCCTTACTGGAAGACACTCAAGTTACGACATAACCTCGATGTTATGCACATAGAGAAGAACATATGTGATAATTTAATTGGGACTTTGTTGAGCATTGATGGGAAGAACAAGGATACGGAAAAAGCACGCATGGATTTAGAGGATATGAAAATTAGGAAGGATTTGCACTTAAAGAGGCGTGCGGATGGGTCCTTTGAAAAGCCCATTGCATTGTTCACATTGTCCCTAAAGGAAAGACAAGGTTTTTATGAGTTCTTAAAATCGATTAGGTATCCTGATGGGTATGCAGCAAACATCTCTATGTGTGTGAGCACAAAGGGCGGCAAGTTATCCGGTTTGAAAAGCCATGATTGCCATGTCCTTATACAACGACTTCTTCCTATTGGAATGCGTGGGTATCTTAACAAGGACATTTCGATTGCATTGTTTGAGTTGGGAAATTACTTTCCACAGTTATGTTCAAAAACAGTGAGGGTGAATGATTTGAAAAAATTACAAGAGAGCATAGTACTCATACTTTGCAAGCTAGAAAAAAATTTTCCACCGTGATGGTTCACTTAGCTATTCACTTGCCTCGCGAAGCCATTCTTGGAGGGCCAGTGCAATATCGATGGATGTACCCTATCGAAAGGTATTTTTATGCTCTTTGATGTGAAATTATATTTTTTTTAATATTATAGTATACCCATATATATGGTTTATATAATAATTTCCTATTATTTGTTGAAGATTACTCGGGATTTTGAAAGGGTATGTAGCAAATCGAGCTCACCCAGAAGGTTCAATTGCAGAAGCTTACATTGTCAAAGAATGCCTAACTTTTTGCTCTATGTATCTTGGTGGGATTGAAACCGTATTTAACAGAGAGGAAAGAAATGAAGATGGTGGTGATGTTGGCTCAGGGCATTCAGTTTTTTCACAAAAAGTCCGTACTTTTGGGCTAACTCAAAGGGCAGTTGACGTGTCTGAGAATGAAAGAAAAGTGGCTCATTGGTTTATCTTGTATAATAGTCCTGAAATTGATGAATATCTAGAGTATGTTCTCATTTAGTTAAGTCTATGCAAAATGCTTTTCATTATGATCACACTCAAGTACTAATTATTCACATTTGATTTTTCAAGTAGAGAACACAAGAATCAGTTACAAAATGCAAATGTACATGACATTACAAGACAACAACAAGAAGAATTTCCTAGGTGGTTCAAAGAGCGGGTAATATATAAGATACATAGATAATATGTAACCTCTCATCATAAACATAATTCACTGTTCGTAGATTGATATTAACATCATGCATCCTTGTCACATGTTCATGTAGATAAATCAATTACGAGCTGAAGGATCATCGGAAGCAACTGATGAGTTGTGGTCATTAGCTAATGGTCCTAGTCCAATAGTGAATATTTATTCAGGTTGTATTTGTAATGGCATTCGATTCCACACGAAAGAGCGAGACAACCGTCGTAAAAGTCAAAATAGTGGGTTGGTTGTTCAAGGGGATCATCATGGTATGTCAATTGATTTCTATGGTCAGTTGAATAAAGTTTGGGAAATGACATACATGTTCGGGCATCGAGTTGTGTTATTTCAATGCGAATGGTTTAACACTGGTAGCAACAGAACATTTCGCACTGAAACACATTTGACAACCATTGATGTAAGAAGCCGTTGGTATCAAAATGACCCATTTGTCTTGCCAAGTCAGGTGCAACAAGTTTTTTATGTCAATGATACCAAATTAGGTGAACATTGGAAAGTCGTAGAGCGATTTCAACGTCGAGGAATATGGAATGTGCCGGAGCTTGAGGATGTAGATCCCGATGATAATGAATTGCCTATTCCGAATGATGTGTTCCAGCAGGACGAGACCACTGAAATTGTCCAAATCAGCATTGCAGATTCCATTAGCAACACTTTACGTAGGACTGATATTGCACCTGATATTATTCCAAGTCAAGTGGTTCTGCAATCTAGTACAAGTGTACATGTAGAGGGTCCAAACAGAGATGATTTTATCTGTGATGATAATGATCAACATTCAAATGATCCTAGTGATGATGAAGATGAATTTCATAGTCATAGTAACTCGGATACAGATGATGATATAGAGCCTTGATTGTAATATCCTTTATTTTTTGCATTATCAAGTCATTTTCATTGTAATGCTCTTGATTGTAATGGCATGCACTTGTTAATGAAGACATGTTTAGTTACAACAAGTCTGGAATGTTGTACCTATTGCTTCATTGTGGTCCATTTGGAAACATCGGAATCTGTCTGAATCTGTCTGAATCTGTGTATTAATCTGAATCTGCTGAATCTGTTTTGAATCTGCTGGTGTAATGCTGAAATGCGGCTGCTGCTGGTGTAATGCTGAATCTGTTTTGAATCTGTTTTGAATCTGTTTTTTTTCTCTTCTTGTTGGTTTCTCACCAACGGTTATATTACTAGCGGATGTTTGGGCTAGCTCATTGGCGCCAAGTTTGTTTGGTTTTAATAGCTATGCTCCTGATGTATTTGTGTTCATTATATATAATCTTATTTTGTTTGTTGATAAAAAAAATGAAGACATGTTTAGTGATGATTCAAATTGTAATGAATTTTTTTGTTGATAATTTCTTGACTTGTAATGTGGTTCTAATATTACACTATTAGGTTATCTTATAATTTCATAAATTTTCATGCATTTAAAATTTTTACTTTTGGTTGCTTATAATTCATTTGTTAGATACAAAGACTACACAGATGCCACCTGGGCAAGCCACTAAGAGGAGGTCGACGACCTCAATGTCAGAGGCAAACTGGTTGAGCTCCCAGCTGACCTCAATGTCAGAGGCAAACCTGGTTGAGCTCCCAGCTGCATCTCCTGTGGATGCATTTGCAAGTCTATCTCCTGTGGATGCATCTCCATCTTCGCAAACAGTTGATATTGGTAAGTGTTTCATCCTTTGTATAGAACAATTTGTTTTTTGCTCCTGAAACTGTAATCAATGTTGAGTAGTTACTACATGCTTACTCTTTTTTGAGTGATTATGATTAAAAATTTGTTAGTATTGAAGTATGACTCTGTGAGAGACAATCTGTGAGAGACAATAAAAAAGAGACCTTTTAAGATGGAATACCTGGATCATCCATGTGAGATAGTAACCAATTCATTGCCTCTTCCACCCCAGCATTTGAGGTGTTGATAGCAGATTTTTGAAAATGAAGATAATTAAACCCCATTGATGCAAGTTGGGATACTATACCCTCATCAGCCAAAATCTTCTTTGGTTCTGCCACATTCACAGCGGCTGTGCAATATAAAATGTAGATAATCAGTTGTCCATAATGTCAGGTATAATGCCCGAAATGCCTACAGAAACTTTTCATTGAATGAAATAAGGAATTGAGACGTAGCAAAATATCAAAGAAAGAATTGTAGGCACCTTTTGGGTCGCAAGGTGAGAAGAAATGAAATGATTACGTCTTTGACCAAGGTAAGAAGAAAAATGATTGTGGTTTTTCATTATCTTGGATGAACAATAATAAAAGAGGACACATGTGCCTTTTAATTTTACTTACTTTGTATTGAGGGGGATATTTTAGGTATTATAAGCATGTTACAAAGGGTAATTTTCGTTTCTCACCACTTTTGGTGAGAAACAAAACATGAGTTTTAAGGGACATCTCCTCCTTTCTTGCCATTTCTCATGTCCATAATCATCTAAACAAGTTATGAGAGCCCTCTCCATCTCAAAGTAGGTGATTGTACACGACATGAGAAGCGTACTTTAATTGAACACAAAACTACAAAGTAATTTTGGGCAGATAGGACCAAAATGCCAACTTTCCAAATTATAGTTGGGAACTGTACCACAAGGCTCATCACTAGAAAAACATATTTAATATTCACAAGTTGTACAAATGTACTGATAGCACTTAGCGAAACATATATTTTGCCTACATATAAACAAAAAGACAAATCTGTCTTCTTTTTTAAGCCTTCATATATCAGTCCATGGAAGTATTGTAAGGACTAGGGTTTCACATTTGTTGATTCTCTTTCATGTATCTATCATTTGTTTTCAATTTTCCAATGAGTAATTAATGAAATCTCTCTGTGCCCAATATCAGCCGTGTGATTGTCTCATTTTCTTAGAGAATGGCAGGTCGATGGAGGCATAAATTTTCACAAATCATCTTTTCACACTGCAAATGATTTAATTGACTTTAATTGTTGAAACTGTAGAATAAATCTGATTTTCGTACATATTATTAGATGATTTAGATGTAACCAATCATCCTGTCCTTTCCTGTTCTAAAGCGACATTACAATAATTTCCTAATTGCTGGATTGTATCAGTTGAAAATTACTAAAGAATAGCCAATTCCATGTACCTGAGCTGATGCTGCATAATTGGTTTTTGGCCTATATATGATGCTGGGCCTTTTGGAGTAGTTGGTTTTACTATTTTTTTTTTCCTCATCGATCAAGCAATCATACAATATTTACAACTTCGAATTACTTGCTGAAAACTAAAGCTGTAACATTCTAGTAGTTGGTTTTGCTTGTGTAAGTTTGCCATGGATTTGACTGGTATGAATCATACTTAG